GAGGTCACATTCACTGTCTTTACAGTCTAATATTTTAATATCAGCACAGCAGGTAATGGGATTACTCTGTCCCTTTGAGATCAAGGTGCTCCATACAATCACAAGAACGTGGATTTTACTGTAATATCAACAATATATCTGAATATATCATCAGCATCATGTGACCATGTTATTGGTCACATGATGGGTCACGATGGAAATAAAGGTGACCCATCATGTGACCATGTTATTGGTCACATGATGGGTCACTTTTATTTCCATCGTCATCATTAATATGAACCCGGCTAATGCTGGGCTGTGTGCAGGCGTCTGACGTGGCTGCAGAAACCAGGAAAGCTTCCAGCATCAAAGCTGTGCACAGTTGTATGAAGTCTGTTGATAAAGAGGAGCAACAAACAGCTCTCACATTGTTCTCAGCAGCCACGCGCCTCATCTAAGCCCCCAACACTCACCTTTGGAACCTCAGACAGACTTTACAGGAAGTTTTCAGGAGGTCAGAGGTCAGGTTTTAAGCAGTGAAATAAAGTGGAAAATAAAACTTTGACTTAAAACCATCCTGATCTGTCATTACCAGACAAACACTGATGCAGAGGTCTCTTTGAAACCGAGCTCGTTCTTTGTTAGCAGAGCTGTGTGAGCAGCTCCTGCCTCGGTGGAGTCTGGATGTGCGCATAGAGATCTCTGCATCGCTGTCACACTGAAGCTCAGATCAAATCTCAGGCAGCTTCTGAAAAGCCTGATCCTCCTGTTTCTGAGCGCCTCAGTTTATCCTGGATGAAGATCAGAGATAACGAAACTATCACCGTCACATTGATGCTTCATGAGCTCTGATTGGACTGATTTCCTGTTGTCTGTGAAACACCTGCAATCACCTCACGGTGTGAAAACCGACAACAGGTCTGATTCCTGACTCTCCTGATCAATACCAAGGATTAGTCAGGAGGCAGATCCCCGATCAATGACTCTGATCAGTAATCTCTGTGTTTGTGTTGTCAGATCATCAGAAGTTGGACCGTGAAGCTCGAATCTGTCGACTACTGAAACACCCCAACATCGGTGAGTAATACTGCATGTACTGCATGTACTGCATGTACTGCATGTACCAACACTGCTGTATTTACCTCGACTGCTAACGGTGAGGGTGATGAAGGCGGTGAAAACCTGCACCGTGTACTGGAGACAGCACGCAGTACGAGTACTGTGATACTGAGAGCCGCCTTCGTCAGTAACGTAGCGACTGTCTTCTGTACAATCAGGTTTGAATCGAAGGGTTGATGTGAGAGCGCGTCAGACCGCTCGATGATTGACTTGCTTTGGGCTAAAGTGAGAATGCAGATGTGAGAAACAAACGATGAAAAGTGAGTTTTTACAACTGCAAGAAGGAGTCTTGATGCACGCTCATGCTCCGGGTGAGCAAATCCCAAAAGTTGATTCTGTTCATCAGGATGTTTTCAGTGGGAGAAACGTTTCGTCTTCATCAGGTGACGTCTTCAGTCTCAGCTGACTGCAGGTCTCAACCTTATAAACAGGACATCTGCATAATGACTGAAACCAGCCCACTGAAGGAACAATGGGCTGGGAGGTCAGCTCATTAATATGCACATTGTCATGGCCGTTGATCAATAACCACGAGTCCCATTCACAGAGTTGTGACAGATGTACCTCAGGCCC